AGGGAAGCTGGGCAATCGGGTGCTTTGGGATTCGCACGAGAGCAAGGACGTGTACAGATCTATGTGGCAGCTGCCGGCCCTGGCGTGGCACGGTGGGGGCAGGCTGAAGAGGGTGTGCATCCAGGGGGAGTGCAACGCCGTTGGAGGGGTTGGTGTGAAAGTGTCGGCCAGATATGGGGAGACGGATTGGGCAACTGCACACCGACGTTTGGGGCATGTGGCAATGCCTTTGCTGAAGCAGTTGGACAAGGATGGAGCCGTTAAGGGATTGAAGCTGAACAGACAACCACCCGATGATAACTGTGAAATTTGCCTCCTTTCAAAGTTCACCCGTTTCCCCTTCCACAGTGTGGCTGGCAGGAGCAAAAAGCCGTTGGAGCTGGTCCACATGGACTTGGTGGGGCCGCTGCGGTGCAAGGGCACAAGGGGGAGTGGTATTTCCTAACGATAGTGGATGACTGGAGCAGGCTAATGTGGGCGTATCCGCTGAAGCAGAAACATCACGCCGCCTCCACGATTCGGGACGATTGGCTGCCGTTCGTGGAGAAGCAAGCGGAGTGTGTGGTAAAGCGGATTAGGACAGATCGGGGTGGTGAGTTCCTTGGAGCTGAGATGACGGCCTGGCTCAAGAAGCAGGGCATCCAGAGGGAGCTGACCACGGCTTACACCCCACAGTCCCACGGTGTAGCATAACGGGCAAACCGGACAATTCTGGAGACAGCTAGGGCGCTGCTCATAGAATCTGGGCTGGGCAACTTGATGTGGCCCATGCTGTTCGGCACGCTACCGTCGCTAGGAACCGGGTACTCACAAAGGTTGGGGATGACTCGTGGGTGCCGTTGGAGAGGTGGCTTGGGAGGAAGCCGCCGGTGGACATGCTGAGGGTGTTCGGTTGCATGGCAGTCGCCCACGTCCCAAGACCTACCGCAGCAAGTTGAGGGCGAGTGCAATCTGGTGTGTGCATTTGGGGCTGGCTGCTGAGAGCAAGGGATGGCTGCTGTGGGAGCCTTCCAAGGGTGTGTTGTTTGACAGCAGGGATGTGAAGTTTGTTGAAGGCATGATGTATGGGAGCTGGGAGAAACAGCCCGAGGCCAGGGTGTCCCAGCAAATGGAGCAGATCACCATGCAGCTGGACCTGACTCCTAGTGTGTGGGAGGAGGGAGAAGAGGCAGGGCAGAGGGTGGTGATGGAAAGAAGGTACAGGAGGCACCTGCTGGTGGAGAAAAATTATGTGGAGACTAGCACTAGTGGAGCTGCTGGATCTGAGGGGGTGAGCAGCAGCAGGGGAAAACTAAGAAGCCGAAGGGTGTCGTTATGAAGGGATAGGAGACACCCGTCTCCAGGCCAGGACGTACCCGTATGGCTACTAAGAAGCTGACTGCAGGAGTGATGTAGCGGAGCAGCAGCTTGGGACCGAGGAGGCATGCTGATTCTACCGCATGGCTATGACCCGGATGAGGAGGATGAGCCTGCGTACTGATTTCTTGCCCCTGCACCAGAGGAACCAGCTAGCATGGGAGAGCATTAGCTGGACCAGATAGGAGAAGTGGCTGGTTTCAGGGATGCTGAGTACCAGAGCCTGCTAGAGAATGGGACATGGGAGCTGTTGGTGCTGCCTGAGGGGAAGAAAGCCGTACAGTGCAAGTGGGTGCTAAGGATCAAGACCGATGACAAGGGACAGGTCACCATCTACAAGGGTAGGCTGGTGGCTAAGGGGTTTATGCGGAAGGAGAAGCGGGACTTCAATGAGATCTTTGCTCCCACTGCCAAACCCCTACTCCGTGTCTTGTTGGCAGATGCAACCGTTAGTGGGAAATTCATCATTCAGATGGATATATCAACGGCATTCCTCAATGGGATTTTAGAGGAGGATGTGTACATGACGCAGCCACCTGGGTATGAGGATGGTAGGGCAGGGTGTGCAAGCTGAAAAAGTCCATCTACGGCTTGAAGCAGGCGCCACGCTGCTGGTACCAGAAGCTGGCAGCTATTTTAGAGGAGATGGATTCAGGACCAGCAGCTGTGATGAGAGCCTTTTTCTCAAGGGGGAGGGGGAGAAGCTGGTGTTGTTTCTGGTATACGTGGACGACATTCTTCTCTTCAGCAGCAGCATGAAGGAGATCCAGAAAGTGCACCAGCAGCTGATGGAGAACTTCAAGTGCAAGAACCTTGGGGAGGTAAAATACTACCTCGGGATGCACGTAGAGAGGGATCCATATCACAGGTGGTTGAAACTGCACCAGGAGAAGTTCATCAAGGAGCTGGGGGAGAAGTATGGGATTGAGAATGAGCGCAAGGTTGCAACTCCCCTGCCAGCAGAATCAAGCTTGTGAAAGCTGCAGAGGATAAAGGGGTTGAAGCTGAGGAGCAGCAGCAATTCCAGTCCTTGGTGGGCAGCCTCCTGTATGCAGCTGTTCACACGAGGCCTGACATCTCTTTCTCAGTTGGGCAGCTAGCTAGGGTGGTGCCGAATCCATCAGAGGAGCAGGTGGATGCAGCTGAGCGTGTGTGGTGAAGTATCTGAACTCTCACCCAAGCATTGGAGTTCAATACTCCGCATCTGCACAGGTGAAGCAGAAAGGGGTGAGGTGCTGAAAGAGAAGGGGGAGAGGCTTGGAGAAGGCAAGCTTTTCCTCATTTGCTTTACCGATGCTACGTGGGCCTCTGAGAAGGAGGATCCTCATCTGTGGGAGGATACATCTGCGTAGTGGGGGGAGGACCTGTTAGTTGGAGGTCAAAGAAGCAGACGGAGACAGCACTCTCTTCCGTGGAGTCAGAGTACATGGCAATGTTCCACGGGGTGAAGGAGGTGATTTGGCTGAGGAGGTTGTTAGAGGAGATGGTCAGGAGCAGAAGGTTGCTACGCTGCTGTTGTGATAGCAAGGGGGCTCTTGGAATGGCCAGGAACGTTGTGCTTCATGGGCTCAATAAGCACATGCGTATCAAGTGGCACTGGCTGCGTAAGGAGGTGAAGAGGGGGGCAGTGAATCCGATCTACATCAAGACTCACCACCAGCCACCAGACTTTCTCACCAAGAGGCTTGCGGATGAGCCTCATTGGCGTTGTTTGCGCATGAGTAGAATAAGCATGAACTAGCATGGAATGATGGAAATGCAGCCGGCAGGCTGAGGGGGAGTGTGTGTGATGCAAATTCACATTGCACTACATCTTGCCGTCTGTTTGTACAAGTATGCTGGTGTGCGAATGCATTTGGGGTGAATTGAATGTTCGTGTGTTTGTTTGCTTTCGCAGTTTTCGCTTGATGCATTTGCAGGTACTCGGCAATGTGCGCTTCGGCACAACATTGTACGCGCTATGAATAGTACAAGCAGAAAGGACGAGCTTGCAAAGGAACCCAAGATGGAAGCTTTGCGGTTCAATTTAATTGATTGCGCAGATTCAGTTCTATCCAACTCGAAATTGTACTGTTTTACTTGGTTGACTATAGTGTAGCAGGGCAGGCACTATAGAGGTACAATTTAGGTGAAACTTGGATGTTGTTTGTCTGTATCTGCTTGCTACAAGGCCAGGTGAAACCAGCGGAACCAGCATTTGAGGGTTGGGCAAAGACAAAACAGGTTCTGTTTTAGGACCTGAACCTGGTTGTTGTTTTCCCAGGTTGGAAAAACAGAACCAGCGGTTGTTTACCAACCTACCACCTGCTGTTTTGTCCAGCCAGGTCGGTTTTGTTGCTTGGAATTAGTTGGGATCATCCCTGGTTGTTCCCAGGTTCATTCCCAAGGTCCTTGCTAGCTAGAGCTATTTAGTCTTCTCTGTTTGTCCTTGAATATAGTCAAATTGATTCAAGCGAATTTCTTCTTGCTGGAATTTCCTTTCTACGCGGTGCGACGGCGGAATGCTACCCGAGTCAACGCTAGTACGCTAGCACTCCAATGCTAGGCAAACGCTGTCTGAGCCATAACTTCGTAATGGCAGAACTTTTCGCGAGGCAACTTGGTTCGTTTTAAAGCTCTTGGAGCGAGCTTCGATATAGTAACTTCTCAGCTTAATCCGATCAACGGTCTGACGATACGCTGCGCGACGTTCAAGGTACTCTTGCTGTTTTGACTTAGTCCCTCTTGATCCCTCTCTCTACAAACTCGGACCCGAGGATAGGGGTGGTCTTGTACCAGGCACCCAAGGACCCTTGGAGGTGACCCGAGGAGAGGTTTTAAGTTTGATAAAGTCTTAATATCTTGAGTTTATTAGGCCCTTACACCAACAGTCGCCGCCCTTCGCGGCCCCACCGCCGCCCTTCGCGGCCCTGTCGCCGCCCTCTCGCGGCCCGTCGCCGCCCTTAGCGGCCCCGTCACCGCCCTTCGCGGCCCCGTCGCCGCCCTTTGTGGCCTCGTCGCGGCCCCGTCGCCGCCCTTCGCGGCCCCGTCGCCGCCCTTCGCAGCCTCCTCTCGGCCCCTTCGCGGCCCCCTTCTTGCCCCGTCGGCGCCCTTCGCGGCCCCTTCGCGGCCCCTCCCCGGCCCCTTTATCTCTGCAGCCTCCGCCGCTGCCGACTGCAGCCGCGCCGTCGCCGCCACCGCTGCCGCCCTGGCCCTGCCGCCGTCGGCAGCAGCCGCCGCCGCCGTCGAGCCGTAGCCCCGCAGCCGTCGAGCCGCCGCTGCCGTCGAGCCGCCGCCGCCGCCGAGCCGCCGCCGCCGCCGTTGAGCTGCCGCCGCTGTCGAGCCGCCGACGCCGTTGAGCCGCCGCCGCCGTCGAGCCGCCGCTGCCGTCGAGCCACCGCCGCCGTCGAGCCGCCGCCGTCGAGCCGCGGCCACAGCTGCTGCCGCTGCCGCAGCCGAGGCACGCCGCTGCGCAGGCGGCCCTGTCCTTGCGGCGCGCCTCGGCCCTTCCCACCGCCCTGGTAAGAGCACTCCCGAGCAGCGCCTCTGCCACTGCGCTGCCCCTAGCCTGCTGCTCTCACTGTTAGACTGCTTTAGTCATGGCTACCCCCAGTGTTCTTACCTTTGATGCTGAGGGTCGGGCTATCGACTTTGAGTCTGGGTCGATGATCTGCAAGCTTTTCCTACAATGCGATAGGACAGACGGTCTCTCCCTGTTCGATCTCACGTCCGGTGCTTCTCCTTCCCCTCCTGCCGATGCTGACAGCACTGTTCGCCTCACGTGATGCCGCTGCCCGTCTTGCTGTGCGTAGTCACTTGCCGTCCTCTGAGCGTGCGCACTTTAGTCAGTACAAGAGTGCTAAGACCCTGTACGACGCTGTATTTGCACGCTACTGTTCCCTGCCACTGCTGCCCTTAGTCGCCTCATACTGCCGTACCTGTTTCCTGACCTCACCGCCATTCCCACAGTCGCTAACCTCATAACGTACCTTTGGACTAGTGACACACGCTACGCGCTGCGCTTCCTGCTGAGTTCTGCGCCAAGAACCCCCCCCCCCCCCATGTACATCACCCTTTACTACATAGTCACCCGGCTCCCTGACTCCCTTCGCTAGGTCAGGGACCACTTCCTCTCTCTTTGCCCCACCACACTCACGTTGACCTCCTCAAGGAGCGCCTCCTGGCAGCAGATAAGAGTATAGTCGCTGTAGGAGCCTCTCGTGGTAGGGGCAAGGGGGGCAAGGGCGCTGGAGGAGCTGGCGGGGGCGGTGGAGGTGGCGGTGGAGGTGGTGGAGGGGGTGGGGGTGGTGGTGGGAGTGGTGGCGGGGGTGGGGGCGTCGGTGGCGGTAGTGGAGGCGGAGGAGGCGGCGGCGGTGGCGGTGGGAGCGGAGGAGGAGGCGGTGGCGGCGGTGGTGGAGGTGGAGACGGCAGCAGTGGAGCTGGTCGAGGCGGCTCTGCGCAGAGGGGCGGCTCCGATGGTGGTCAGCGCCAACAGCAGCAGCGCACTCGTGAGACCCCGCCCCCTACCAGCTTCGTGAGTAGTACGCTACGCGTCAAGCGGGGTGGGTGTGCTGGTCCCTGTACCTACGTCCTGCGTACCGGCTACCGCACTGGTGAGCAGTGCGGGGGCCGCACTCCACCCAGCGCTGCTTTTCGGCCGCCTGACGGACTTGGCGTCTCCAGTTCCCTGACGCCACTGAGATCCCTCGCTGGGGCGAGCTGCTTAAGTCGGGGGTTGCTATCTTTGATCTTGATTATGATGCTATTCTTGCTGCCATGTATGCTGTGTCTACTAATGATGAGGGTGACTGTTACCCGTTTGTTCCGCCTGACCCGGGCATTGGGACTGTTGGTGTAAGGGCCTAATAAACTCAAGCTATTAAGACTTAATCAAACTTAAAACCTCTCCTCGGGGATATCTCCAAGGGTCCTTGGGTGCCTGGTATAAGACCAGCCTCTACCCTCGGGTCGGAGTTTGTAGACAGAGGGATCAAGAGGGACTTAGTCAAAACAGCAAGATTACCTTGAACATCGCGCAGAGTATCGGTGTAGACCGTCAATCGGATAAGCTGAGAATTTACTATATCGAAGCTCGCTCCAAGAGCTTTAAAACGAACCAAGTTGCCTCGCGAAAAGTTTCTGCCATTGCAAAGTTATGCTCTGGACAGCGTTTGCCTAGTGTTGTGGGAGTGCTAGCGTACTAGCGTTGACTCGGGTAGCATAACGCCGTTGAACCGCAAAGAGAAACGAAATTCTAGGAAGGAGGAATTCGCTTGAATCAAATTGACTATATCCAGGTACAAACAGAGAAAGAATAAATAGTTCTAGCTATCAAGGAACTTGGGAATAAACCTGGGAACAAACCAGGATGATCCCAAATAATTCAAAGCAACAGAACCAATCTGGCTGGACAAAACAGCAAGTGGTAGGTGGTAAACAACCTCTCGTTCTGTTTTTTCAACCTGGCAAAACAACAACCAGGTTCAGGTCCTAAAAACAGAACCTGTTTTTGTCTTTGCCCAACAGCCAAATGCTGGTTCCGCTGGTTTTCCCTGGCCTGTAGCATGCAGATACAGACAAACAACATCCAACCTTCACCTAAAATTGTACCCTATAGTGCCTGCCCTCCTACACTATAGTAACCAAACAAAACATTACAATTTCGAGTTGGATAGAACTAAATCTGCGCAATCAAGTAAGCCGAACCGCAAAGCTTCCATCTTGGGTTCCTTTGCGAGCTCGTTCTTCTGCTTGTACTGTTCATAGCGCGTACAATGTTATGCCGAAGCGCACAATGCGTGAGTACCTGCAAATGCTCAAGCGAAAATTGTGAAATTCAAAAAACATACGAACATTCCATTCATACCCAGATGCATTCGCACACGCATACTCGTACAAACAGACGGCAGGATGTCGTGCAATGTGAATTTGCACCCAACAGGGACTGCTGCTCTAGGTGCTGGTGAGGCTGCTGCTCTAGGAGCTAGTGAGTCTGCTGCCCAGGTGCTGGTGAGTCTGCCCTCTCAGGTACCACGTTGGCTCAGGCCTCCCACACCTTCACCCTCGACTCGGGTGCTTCCCGCTCCTTCTTTCGAGACCGCACCACACTCACGCTGCTTAGTCGGCCAGTTGCGGTCTCCCTGGCAGACCCCTCTGGGGGTCCTGTCCTTGCCCACTGCCACTGTCTTACCGTGTCCGGCGGCCTTCTAGCACCCTGTCAGGTCTTTACCTCCCCTCGTTCTCTACAAACTTGGTGAGTGGTGCTGATGTACAGGTCGGGGGGGTTCACAGTTCACTCCTGCGAGTCAACGAGTGACCCACTGCACTTGTGCTCGGACGGGCGACACTTGGCCACGTTTACCCGTCGGCTGGGGTCGAGCCTGTACACACTAAATACTGAGTCTTCTTCGGTTGCTACGTCTGGTCAGGTAGCTGCGTCGGGTCAGGGTTTACTGCAGCGTCCAGGTCTGGTCCTGAGTCTACCCCCTGCTGGTGTCGTCTCCTGTCTCAGCCGACTCTCCTCTGGCACCACCGCCTTGGTCACCCCTCACTGCTTCGTCTCCAAGGCATGCCTCCCGTGTCTTGTCTCTGGTCTCCCATTCACTCCCTCCTCTTCCTCCGGGGCCGCCCCTACCTGCGTTCCCTCGTCGTGGGGCGGATGCGCGCCGCTCCTGACTCCTCCGAGTTTCCTCCGACAGAGGCTCCACTGCCAGACACTTCACCTGGGGTGTAGGGCCCCGCCCGCGTCCGTGACAGGTGACGAGTTTTTACTTCCTGCTGGTATTTGACGACTACTCGCATTACACCACAGTCTTCCTTGCGCAGTGGTTGGTGTAAGGGCCTAATAAACTCAAGCTATTAAAACTTTATCACACTTAAAACCTCTCCTCAGTGTCACCTCCAAGGGTCCTTGGGTGCCTGGTACAAGACCAGCCCCTATCCTCGGGTCCGAGTTTGTAGAGAGAGGGATCAAGAGGGACTTAGTCAAAACAGCAAGAGTACCTTGAACGTTGCGCAGCGTATCGTGCAGACCGTCGATCGGATTAAGCTGAGAATTTCTATATCGAAGCTCACTCTAAGAGCTTTAAAATAAGCCAAGTTGCCTCGCGAAAAGTTCTGCCATTACGAAGTTATGGCTCGGACAGCGTTAGCCTAGCGTTGGAGTGCTAGCGTACTAGCGTTGACACTCGGGTAGCATTCCGCCGTCGCACGCGTAGAAAACGAAATCCAGCCAGGAAGGAATTCGCCTGAACAAATTTTACTATATTCAGGTACAAACAGAGAAGAAATAAATAGCTCTAGCTAGCAAGGACCTTGGGAATCAACCTGGGAAACAACCAGGGATGATCCCAAATAATTCCAAGCAACAGAACCAACCTGGCTGGACAAAATAGCAGGTGATAGGTGGTGAACAAACCTCTGGTTCTGTTTGTTCCAACCTGGGAAAACAACAACCAGGTTCAGGTCCTAAAAACAGAAACCTGTTTTGTCTTTGCCCAACCAGCCAAATGGGTTCCGCTGGTTTCCCCTGGCCTGTAGCATGCAGATACAGACAAACAACATCCAACCTTCACCTAAATTGTACCCCTATAGTGCCTGCCCTGCTACACTATAGTCAACCAAACAAAACAGTACAATTTCGAGTTGGATAGAAATGAATCTGCGCAATCAAGTAAGTTGAACCGCAAAGCTTCCATCTTGGGTTCCTTTGCGAGCTCGTCCTTTCTGCTTGTACTGTTCATAGCGCGTACAATGTTATGCCGAAAGCGCACATTTTGCGAGTACCTGCAATGCTTCAAGCGAAAATTGCGAAAGCAAACAAACACACAACATACCATTCACACGCAAATGCATTCGCACACGCATACTCGTACAAACAGACGGCAGGATGTCGTGCAATGTGAATTTGCACCCATCACACTCCCCTCAGCCTGCCGGGCTGCATCCCCATCATTACATACTAGTTCATGCTCATCTCACTCATGCGCACACAACGCCAATGAGGCTCATCCGCAAGCCTCTGGTGAGGAAGTCTGCTGGCTGCTGGTGAGTCTTGATGTAGATCGGATTCACCGTCCCCCTCTTCACCTCCTTACGCAGCCAGTTCCACTTGATACGCATGTGCTTATTCAGCCCATGAAGCACAGCGTTCCTGGCCATCCCAAGAGCTCCCTTGCTATCACAAAACAGCGGCGTAGCAACCTTTTGCTCCTGGCCAATCTCTCCAACAGCCTCCTCAGCCAAATCACCTCCTTCACCCCATGGAACATCGCATGTACTCTGATTCCACGGAAGAGAGTGCTGTCTCCGTCTGCTTCTTTGACCTCCAACTAACCGGTTCCTCCCCCACTACGCAGATGTATCCTCCCACAGATGAGGAATCCTCCTTCTCAGAGGCCACGTAGCATCAGTAAAGCAAGTGAGAAAAAAGCTTGCCTTCCAAGCCTCTCCCCCTTCTCTTCAGCACCTCAACCCCTCTGCTTCACCTGTGCAGATGCGGAGTATTGAACTCCAATGCTTGGGTGAGAGTTCAGATACTTCACCACACGCTCAGCTGCATCCACCTGCTCCTCTGATGGATTCTGCACTACCCTAGCCAGCTGCCCAACCGAGAAAGAGATGTCGGGTCTCGTGTGAAATGCTGCATACAAGAGGCTGCCACCAAGGACTGAAATTGCTGCTGCTCCTCGGCTTCAACCCCTTCATCCTCTGCAGCTTTACAAGCCTGAATTCTGCTGGCAGGGGAGTTGCAACCTTGCGCTATTCTCAATTCCGTACTTCTCCCCAAGCTCCTTGATGAACTTCTCCTGGTGCAGCTTCAACCACCCTGTGATCCAGATC